ATTGTTTATGACGACTGAGGCAAAAAGGTAGCCCATACTTTTAACCACATTTACGCTTGTAATGTTTACCATTGAACTATTTACCAAGGGCAACAGCACAGTTTAACCGCAGCACACTGATAACTTTTAAAAAAAAGTAGCAAAAAAAAATCCAAAGAAAACAAGTTCACAACGGTTCTGTTTAGTCGCTTTTTCGCATTTCCCAATCCTTCAAAAACACCTAAACAGAACCATTGCTCTCTCACGCAATAGGCAAGCAAATTATAACTCACTTTTTGAAGTTTTTGAGTTATAATTGTTAAAAATAACTATTATGTACCAAATCAGATTACCCATAAGTTTATTAAAATTAGTTTACGGTCTAGCCGTGGTCACCGAAAACGGCAGCTGAGCCACCAAACATACCGCCTGAGTAGCCGAAAAGACCGCCTTGGTCTCCGAAAAGGTTGCCGAAGTAGCCGAAAATGTAGCTTACTATGCCAAATTAGGAGCCGAAAAAGCCAAAGCCGGAGCCAAAAAGTTTAAAAACTTTAACGAAGCAATCGAGCAAAAAGCCCGCGAAACCAAAATAGAGTATCAACAGGCTATCCGCAAAGAAGAATTTCGCCAAATCAACCAAGAGATTATTGATGGTTCCGAAAACTATAACCCGCAATTAGTGGAAAGAACTGATACAGAATTGATGGATTGAGTTATTTTAGAGCAAAGGGAGTGCTTTTAAAAGTTTTCGCATGAACGAAAACAACCTAGAAACCAAAACTTTTTCTCTCAAAGTAGATAAGCTTTTTTACGAAGCAATGGGCGAAGGTAAAGTTTTTGAACAACTAGCAACCCAAGCTTATGCTTATTTTGGTAGCACTAAATGGCAAATTGAAGAAGGATTTACCGAAGAAAAAGAAGGTAAAATAACCTTTACCATGCGCGTATCCGGAAAAAAAGGAATTATTAAAGGCACCAAAGACGAAGCTCAGCAAGAAAACAAAACTTTGTGAGAAAAAACCAAAGAAAAAGTTGGTTTAAAGAAAAATTAGCCAACTGCTTGCTTAATTGGCAGCCATAAGGAACCAAAAAAGTAAAATTTAAAACTTGCTTTTTCATTTACCGCTTACGGGGTCTTTAATTCACTTGTTCCTTTCGTAAAAATGAATAATAATGAAA